ACCTTTAACGACAGTTATTGTTAAATTCAGGCTTTAATAGAGCCAACTCCTTTCCGTAMAGAGCTTATTTCAATGCTGTTACATAACATCTAGGATGCATTGTAATATCTACATAATAAACAGAATAATTATATATTTGGAGTGAGTCTTTAATAGCTTTTGCTTCACTAAAAGGACAACCACAGCTGTAACAAAAGCATTGAATAAATGAATGATTACATTAAGAACAAAGCAGCCTCAAGCATTTGCTAAAAAAAAATATAAGCTCTCCAGTGTCTTTTAATCCAAAAATGCATTACAACGTTTAAGATTGCAGGTATTAAATTTCACTTGACGGCCAAATAACATAACGCCTTTGTTGAGCTGGTAAGCAAGAGAGGTCAGAGCCAAGTTGTTTATCTCTGTTGAGTAGGAAATTAAACTTCTGCCTCAGAGGGAAAAATCCCTGCTGTGCTGCTGACCTCTTATGCAGCATGTGGATTACAAAAATAGCAGATTAGCATCATATTGTTCATATCGCACTTGGCTTAAGTTACAGGATGAAGATGGGGGAAAATGACATTAGAAAATCCATGTTTATATCTTGGTGAATTCTAGATTTCACAATAAGAAGGTGACAGTTTGTTGGAGCACACCYGATAGCTCGGTTGACTCGGTTCGATTGGGGACCAAAGTTGCAATTTCACCAACCAAAGGATATTTCTTTTAAAGATGACATTAATTTATTTGTTGAACCCTATAAAAGGCTTGTAAAAGCAYGTGGAAAAAAGGTTTGTTGCAATTAATTAACCCCATGCAAGTTGGAGTCACAATTAGTCAAATGTACAAACAAATGGTCATAACTCAAGGTAATTTTACAGATATTGAGCTTAAATTTAGTACAGTAGTAGCTGAGCATCCTCCCCAAAATGTACTCTGAGCACTAACAGGCCATATGAGATTGTTGTTTAAAATCACRACAGGCAATGGAGGCAGACAGTAGTTTAATTTACTCTGTGCTTTGCAGGTAAAATCTAGAAGGCACAAAAATACAAAACATGCAGGTTCCTTTGTCAACAAGTCTTAGCAGACTAAATGTGAAGGCTTTAGCACCTAGTAAATGCGCATAAAATTGCCCAACACCCCTGATTTCCTCAATCTGAAGCAAACCAGTAAAATGAGTTCCTGTTGGCTGCCTTTGTGTCTCCACCGTAGGTTGGCTTCTTTCGCTTTCAGACTCTGAATCAGCAGGTCCCTTCGGTAAACAAGGCAGAGTGATTGTTGGATTTGCATATTCCTGAATAAATTACATTGCATTTCTGCGATAAGCAGCACGCTACTGTTTATGAGCTTTTCCTCCTCCATTGCTGCCTCGCTTTTCTCTCGCTCGCTCCTTCTCTATCGCTTCGCCATTCACGCATGCTGCCACGAATTAACCCTGACCACGAGGGACCACTGCGAGTGAGAATGGGCTGCTCGGAATTCGTGTTTTTCGGCGGCGGCAAAAAACCGTGCCACTGGCCCCCGGTGGGGGCACACGCTGCCAACTAYGTGGACGGTTAATCAGGCCTGATAATGATGCATGTACGAGCCCGCCACCAAGGACAAGGACGGCGGCCGCACTCGGCGGTGGGAAGAGATGGAGGGTAGATAGCCTGAGAGGAGAGGAGGTGGAGATTAAAGACACGGGAGCTTCAGAGACAGTTAAAGATGCAGGTGATGAGGAGAAATGGGAAGATAAGTAGCTTAGAGGGGAAAAAGGGACGAAAGAGAGGGGGAAAAGCAAGTGCAGCTGAGTTGTTTATTTCTTTATCTTATTCTGGTGCAGATTGGAAATTTCTATTGGTTTGGAAGTGTTTRTACATGTGTAGCCTGACAGGCGTATGAACATGTGTGCATATTGCTGTGTCTAATGGAGCTGGGAACACATTTAGACTGTAACTCCTTTTTAATTACAGCACTGGTTTGCTAAAGAAGCAACCATGAAGAAAAATTTTTTAGAAATAAATAAAAAATCCTCCATTAAAACCACACGTTGGGGCCTCAGCTTTCCCCCCTTCCCTCACCCCTCTACCCCAATTTCCCTCTTCTTCCTAGGGAGATTCGGGCTGGTGGTATTTTGGCTGCGAAAAAGGAAACCATTGGACGGTGAGGGCATGAATATTCCAAATGACTAATGTTGCACATGCTTATTTTTGACATATCTGGCTTCCTCGGGGAAATAAAACACTTCTAATGCAGAGGGACCATCTGTTATCTGTTGCTGGTGTTTCAAAGCAGGCGTAGGATTCAGTGAACACACACACACACACACACACACACACACACACACACACACACACGCACACACACGCACACCGGCAGGAAGGAAGGCGCACAGGCATACAGACACATATGCAGAAACACGAGCAGACAGATCGACACATTTCCACTCAGCGGGAGGCGTACGTAGACGGTGAGACACATGCGCGCACACATGTACCAACAGCACAATCCGTTGGGAGCTTGGATCTAAACTCTTATACAAACTGAAACCTGAAAAAAATAAAAATAAAAAAAGTGGTGTTTTTGTCAAATGTGCTGTAAATCTTTGGGCTGCAGGTGACAAGTGAATGCAGTCACTTTTTTATGCTTTGCCATAAATACCTGGGTCTGTCTCCCCGGCAGCAGACGGAACAGGATAATAAGCTCATCGTGTGAAGGTTTGTGTGTGTTTGTGTGTGGGGGGGTTTAAACTGCTGCACAAAAAACAAAACACAAAAAACTATATAAGGAGAAAATAACCCTCTGCATCAGCCGCAGATCAAGAGTATACTCTCCCTTAGATTGGTTTAAAACTGTGTCCATTGATGAGTGCAGTCGATACGGTAAACAAACCTTTCAGGCGCTGATGATCTGTTTCGTAGAATCAAACAACAGCTGAGCTTCAGCTTTCTGAGACTACTGACATTAGATTAAAAAATGTTTTTGTGTAAACCAGGGGTCCCCAAACTTTTTCCTGTAAGGGCCACATAACTTTTCCCTTCTCTGGTGGGGGGGCGTAGTCAGTTTGTATCAGAAAAGGTGACTATTGCAGGAGTGCCTAAATGTAAAATTTATTGTTTTCCAGAAAGCACAATCAAATAACC